CTCTCCATAGTTGGCTAGGTTAGTCCTTGGAAAACAGACTTAGGCCATTACTGTGGTCATACTCAAAGCCTTTCTAACACTGTAGACCCTGCCAGAGCTTAATCTCTGCTGGCACAATCTTAAAGAAGCCACCCGGTGTCACCTCCACATCACAGTGAGACGTCAGAGTCAGACTGGAGTGCATAGGAAGTATGCACACCCTCGCAGAGCACAATGTGACTGACCTATGGCTTGTGTCTCATGCCTTCAAAGAGATTCTGAAATGATTGCCAGTCTTTACTTTTACTTTAAAATGAAATGGTATCTATTTGTATGCTTGCTTCTTTATTTCCTCTTCATCTTATGTGCATCTCATTAACAATATTCTCTTTGTATGCACAGTACCAAGAAGATATATGAATTCTAATGGTAGTTTTCCTATTTTTACAAATAGATTCCCTTACAAAATCTATGTAAATCAGTAACTTATTATCTATCCTATACTGTCTTGTTGTGCTATTTTTGTTACTGTCAGTAGTAAAATAAAAAGTATAGATGATATTATTAAACTTGATTTTCATAGTAGACGAATTGAGGGGAAAGTATTTCTAAAACACATTAAATTATTTAACTTTTTATTGGATAATAGTGAAAATCAGGCTTTATCCTTGTTGAAGCCCCTATAATAATGCTACATATGTTGTGAGAACTCAGCAAATGCTTTTAATGATCCCTTTTAAATTATGGTAAGAATTTAGAATTGAAAGCATATAATTACCTGGGCTGGAATATTTCCAGTATTAGACCTGTTTCAATGAAAATTGAGATCTCAAAATGTTAAAATGTACCTTTTAGTGCATGGCTCCAGATACTAGAACATAGAGCATAGAAGTCAGCGGTCTTAGATTTCGTTCCCAGAACCACGTTTAGTTTGCTCTTTTACTTTTGACAATTTTCAGCTTATTTAAACCTTTCTTTGCTTGGTCTGAGTTGTACTTTGAACCCTCCATATGGATCAGTGTCTTATAACTGCAGTTATTGTCACTGCTGTTTTTCTCATTGCCAGTATGATTTTTTTTCAATTAATTGACTAGTCAAAAACCATGTAATAGAGATACCTCTCATGTGCCTGGCACTAGTCTAGGTGCTGGAGATTCAAGTACAGAGAATGAAACAAACGCTACTCCCAACAAGCTTACCTTCTAATGGCACAGACTGCAAGTACATATAAAATATATATAGCTTAAAGATAAAGTGAACAAATGAAATATGTACAAAGAAGTTAAAAGTTAAATTCAAGGTAATTTGAGAATGTACTAACGGAGGAGGAGAGGCTCACGAAGGTTTCCTACAGGAGATGGTGCTTGATCTGAGTCTTAAAGGAAGAGAGGGACTCTCTCTGTGAGGCAGAGGCAGAAATAGAGTCTGTCGTTCCAGGCCTGTGGGATGACCAGTGCAAAGACAGGGACACAGGAGATGAATGTGTGAGGAGCAGAGATGAGACTAATGTGCTAGACTTTAGAGTCCTGGAAGGGAAGTCATATCCAGTGAGGTTAGAAAGACAGGTTGGGACCAGGTTGTATCTAGTGGGCAATCGGGGATGTGTTCTAGAGTTGAAGGCAGGGACCAGCACTGGATATAGAGATCCTGTAAGTCATCTGCGTAGAGGTTATACTGAAATCAATGAGAGAGAAAAGGGCAAATTAATAATAAGATTCATCTAGAGACACAAAAAATGTAGACTATCAAGGAAAATAATGAAAAGAGGCAGGGATGAAGAAAGAATAGCTCTTCTAGACCTCAGATTATAGAACAAAGCAGCAGTCATGAAAACCATCTTCTACTGATTTAAAAATAGAGAAGTAGATCAGTGGAACAGACTAGACAAGGGAGAATCAGAAAATAACCCAGTGTTCAATAAATCAGAAAGCATTGCTTAGGAAAAGAACTACAAATTGGAATTTCAAAAACTTCTGGGAAAACTGGAAGGCAGCATAGCAGAACATAGGCTTATACCAACAGCTATTCCCCAATATGTTCTAAATGGACACCTAAAGCTTAATATATACCCTAGAAAATGAGAAGAAAGGCAGCTCATCTGTGTTTCATCGCTGAGGCTGGGATATATAGCCTTAACCAAATAAGGGATAGAGTCAACTACAAAGGCTTCTACAAAACCAAAATTAATGCCCTTAGAATACAAAGTGAAGCAGTTGGGTAGGGGTGAAAGTCTTTCTATCAGATTTCTCTGATTTGGTATCCAAAGTATATAAATAATCAGAATATATGTATGTCTGTATGTGTATAATTGCTGCTATCAGAAGTCATTCTGCAGTTCATATTCAAAGAATATGAACAAACTTCTCCAAAGGAAAATTGCAAATTATTATTTGGAAAATATTCCAGATCACTAATAATAAGAGAAATGCAAATCAAAATAATCTTAGGGTTTCCCTCACATCCAGCAAATTGACCAAGATGACCAAAGATGGGAACAGTCATTGTTGGAGGGCTTGTGGGAAGACTGCGTTGTTTGCAGAGCTCTGAATCAGCACAAAAATGTCCATACCCTTGACCCAGAGATTCCACTGCTTGGGAGGCCATTGATAAGAAGAAAGTCCTTATATACACTAGGATATTTATAACAGCACTTTATGTGATAGCAAAGAATTGGAAACAAAGTTAAATCCCACTGATTGGGGAGTGTCTAAACAAATTGTGGTATGTGATCGTAATAGAATATTACAGAGGGACACATGAAAAAATGTATATGAACTGATCAGGTAAGCAGAGCCAAGAAAACAATATACACAGTGACTACATCAATGTAAATGGAAAAGAACAGCCACAAAATAATCAGATGTGAATGTTGCAGAATTACAGAGAACAAGCGTGTTTTCAAAGACGAGATATCAGAACACATCCCCACCTTGCCACTCTACAAAGGAGGGAGGTCCATGGTGTGGGACATTGCACGTATTTTCAGACTTGCAGCTTATTGATTTGTTTTGCTGACTTTTTATCCTCAAAAAATACTATTTGTTGTATGAGATAGTTCTTGAGGAGGGGAGGGATACCAGGGAACATCTTGGTAATATAAAAAAAACAAGTCACCAGTAATTTATTTAAAAAAAACAAAAAGGATCGTTGGTAACTTTGGACAAAGCAGTTTCTAGATTGCAAAGGGTTGGAGGAGTTAGTTGAGAGAAGAGGAAGGGGCAGTGAATATAAACTTCTTTGTCAAGGATTTTGGCTGAGAAAAGTTTTGAGTTCTTTTTGTTTGTTTGTTGAGAGATGTGGGTATGTTTGAAGGCAGTAGGGAAGGAGCCATTTGATAGTAAGAGGTTGAAAATTCAAGAGTCAAGGGATGATTGAGGATGCAGTCTGCTAAAGAAGCCAGGAGGGGATGGGATCAAGGCCACAGATAGCACCAAGGAGTGTTGGCCTTGGCAAGAAGAAGGGCCATCTTTTTGGCACAGACTGAGGGAAAGATGCTTGCCCTGGAATTCAGACACTGTTCAGTTACCCTCTGCCCCAAGCCCTTTCCATCGGATTGGATGATGGCTCCTTCCAGAACCTCCATTTAAGGAGTGTTCCCAGGTCAGCCATGTCTCATTCCTCTCTATGCTGAATTCAGGACTCCCTCCACTGTGCCCCTATGCTGGGTACCTTTGTTTCTCCCCTTCCCCTTTTCATCTTTTTATATATTGCCTTGCTCGTTAGAATGGGAGCACCTTGAGAACAGAGACTGCTTTTCTTTTTGCTTGTATTTCTATTTCTAGAGTTTAGCACAGTGTCTGGTACATAGCGCTTAATAAATGATGACTGACTGCCTGAGTGGAAAATGATAACAAGGAGTTTTGAGATGAAGAAGGAAAAGAGGGAGTTCACATTGAAAAGCCTCAATTTTCTCAGTCAAGAGAGACCAGAAGGAGGGGGAAGTATGGGAGGTTTGAGGGAAGAAGAGAAGGTTTAGAATCACTTCTGTAGGGAGCAAGTTAGAAAATCAGTTAGTTAAGCCATAGTGAGGGCCAAGAGAAGGTTGGATGACATGAATTTTTAATGTTTCCAGTCAGTATGGTTGATTTTGAGGTTTCCTTCAGCCATGTTAAGCAGCTCGTGGATAGCTAGTAGCAGCTCTGGCAGCTATAGGTGAGTGGTGCAGTGGATGGAGCTCTGGGCCTAGAATCTCCAAGGCTCAAGTTTAAATCCAGCCTCAGACAATTTACTAGTCTTGGGACCGTCGACAATTAAACCTCTGCCAGTTTAGCACCTAGCTCCCGGGGTTATTGTGAGGATCAAATGAGATAATATTTGTAAAGCACTTAGCACATAGCATAGTAAATGCTATATAAATGAGAGCTATTATAACGATAATAATTATTATTATGAATAAGAAGAGAGAAGGCAGATGGTGGGAATATCATGCATGATTTTTTTGTTCAATGAAATAGGGTTTTTTCCCTCATGTTAACTTATTTTACATTTTCTCTTATATTATGAACTTAAACATCACCAAACATGAATATTTTCAATAAACAAAGAACAGAGAATGGAACTATATCAGAAACTAGGAATTTAACAATATAGATTTCCTTGGAAGCTTTTCACCGAGGTATTACATTGGTGTAAGATACAAAATCAAGCAGGCTCCTAAAGCTTTACTTGTTGGAGTAATCAGGGGGGAAGTTGGGTAAGTTTTTATTTTTCTCGGGCATTTTCAAGGCTCGCTTCAGAGCAATTTGATTTTACTCCGTGCTGTTTTCCCATGAGTTTTTCACTCTTCCCGTCATCGCACAGCACCTTGATAAGTGTGTAATGAGCTCCATAAATAAGTAGATAACGAGCCACATCATGCATCAGAATCTAATGAGCACATCATCTCAGCTTGCCCATATGGGCATTAGAAACACATTTATCTCGATTTAAAAACCAAGATGTGGAACATTAGTGGCACTGAAGCATGACTAGTGAGTTGTCAGCCAGATCATTCACCATGCCTTGTGTGTTTGTTTACTTAGAAAGACAACAACAGCTGGAGGCAGAACACCAGGATGTTTATGTTGAAGCAGACCATGACCTGCACCCAACCACAGGTCGCTCTGTGCAACCGCCCTCGGAGAGGCCAGGAGAAAGGCGAATGGTAGAAATGAAGAAATTGTATGGGGAAAGTGCTGCCAAGATCCAGGCCATGGAGACAGCCATGCAGCTCACTTTTGACAAGAACTGTGATAAAAAACAGCCTAAGTACTGGCCTGTTATTCCTCTGAAGCTATGAGCCACATGAAACCCCTTGCTGGAAACAGACATCCAGCAGAACCTCAAGGTACACATTGTTCTAAGAACAGAGAATGCAAGGGTTACTCATCCTCTTCCCTGCCTTTCTGTTTTGGTGCATCTCTCCCAACTTTATATCTTTTCTAACTTCCAAGAAAAGAAATTTGTCTCTTGAAACTTTGATCTATTTTGGTCCACTCACCCAAATGCAAGAAGAAATTTAGCATATATTGAGTACCTCTTTATGGTATAAAGTGATAACTCTTTTCTTTAATTTTTAAAAATTCCATCATATCCGTATATTTAAGATGTTCCGAACTAAACTGTTGTACTTTTGTAGGTTGTAAACATTTTTCTTGTGCAACATATAAAGATTATATATTTCAGAGTAATATGTTACTATATTAAACACATTTTATTATATTTGCATACCTAATTTTATTTTTTTATATCTCAAAAGTTTTTGTTTCAGTTAGATAACGTGAATTGATAAAAAAAAAATTTCAAGAGTAAAGAATACTTGTTGGAACACATAGTTCCTCTTCTTGAATCATGAAATATTTGTTATAAAATCTACACTAATGTAGATTCTGATCTGCCATTGCAAATTTCACATTGGACATTGAAGTCTTATTCTTCAAATGAAGGTATAATGTCAGTGATGCTGCTTCAGGCTCTAGAGCTCTTACTTATTCTGATGTACTTGAGATAAAGCCTTTACTTGCATAATTTTTACATTGTAAATTTGGGTAAATTTTATATTGAACATCCAAAATGTTCACAAGAGCTATGTATTTGCAACCTATATGGACAGATAGGAGATGTTGATCATAGATTTGGACTGTCTTGATAAAATAAAAATCTTCTTTACATAGAAAGCAATCATTATTGTGTGTTAAAGTGTTTTTACTTTTTTTATTTTATTTTTTTTAAATGATTATTATGTTCCGCTTCTTTAAGTTTCTCTCAGAAATCTCTAGGTTTCCTCCTTTTACATTATTTTCTTCCATCTTTAATCAGAAGGCAGTTAAGTTCCTTCATTTGTCTTGGCCTGTTTCTTCATCTGTAAAGTAAAGATTGGCAATAAATGCCTTCTAACATTCCTTCCATCCCTAGAGGTCTTGTAAATTACCATTGGTTTGATGCCTTTGTCAAGCAAGACATAGTTGTAATACTACCTCTGGATTAGGTCATAGCTGATTTATGTAATTACTGCTTAATCATCCCTGAAGCATCCGAATTTTATGCTTTCAAAATTTGTAGTAAAGTAACAGCACTTTCTGAACTTGAGTGCCTGACCCATCTTTTTCACCTAAAAACAGAATAATGGAATTGACTTAGTGCCATACAAAGCAAAGATTTTTCTTGAGTAAAGGGATGAAATTCTACTGTTCACAACTGTACAAGTCCATTTATAAAAGCTATCTACCTCTTAAATAAATCGTTACTGTTTATTGCCTTTATGGACCTGTGCTGACCTTGGAAGATTAGCACGTCAATCAAATGGTGGTGAAAAGACGTACTATTGGCATGTTTCTCCCTAAGAACACTTAATTCAGCATTTAAGCACTTGCACTGAGACAAACATTATACCTTCATCAATTTCAAATTTCATTACTTGGTGTTTCAATTTGTACTTGGACACTAAAGACAAAATTCAGAATTCACTTTCCCCTAAGTTAAACTATGACCAAAAGGCTCTCAGACATATTTTTATCCTCCTCATGCCAGAATTTTTTTGAAAGAAAAATTATGTTTATGTAAACATGATATAAATATTCCGTGCCTAAAGTTTGTAGTTTTCTTTCCACTTGAGAGTCTAGATGATGCCCTGACCCAAGAATTACCATCCCTGTGATTTAAATGGTCCTTTCAAAATATAGCCATACATACTACTTTGTAAGAGGATATTTTCTGGTTTTTTTCTCCTTATCAGTTAAGTGTAGCGCATCATGTCATCAGGTAGTACACAGTGAGCCAAATACCATCTGTATTCTGTATCATTCTCCATAAAATGAATCATACTCAAGGAAATCATTAGTCTAGACCAGTATCTCCTTGTAAATTTGGCCCATATCATCTCTACAGTTCTCATTTATTACCTTTTCTTAAATTTGTAAAAGCTCGATCGGAAGCCCTGAGTATTAATCAGCTTCTACAATGGTGAAAAACATTGTTCCTCTAAGCCATTATTACCAGGTGAACCTTGTTGTGCCTTAACAGAGTTTTTAAAAGGATTTCTTTGTCCCCCCAAAGCTTCTAGGGGATCAACTGATATGGGAAAAGCCTATGACTCATCCATCAGAGGTGCCTCTCCCAAACCATCCTTGAAATTCCCCACAGTTGAATTAGTAAAGATGATAATTTGTCTTAAATGTGAGACGGGGTGAAAATTTGAAACTGAAAAACTTATGGAAATGAATATTGAAAACTGCAAATAAATAAATTTGTATTTAAAAAAAACAGATGTGGCCCAGAGGGAAAAAAAAACTAAAAAAAAACCAGTTTGTCTTAAATGTTCTTGAATTATACAGTAAAATATTTGTGAAGTTTATATTTATTTCTGTTTCTCTTTAGAAAGGGCTAAGGGGCCTAAGCTTGATTTTCCGATGTAAGATTTTCTGAAGCCTCTAGCCTCCCTGAGTATTCCAGAACAATACTGAAAACACCACATCATAATGAAGGCACTGAAGCATAGATTGATTACCTGCCCAGCGGTTAGATTTCTTTCCGATTAAGAGCATCATGAATTTACTAATTTTCTGCTAGTCCATGTGTTAGTACTTAGTGAAAACAGATCAATTTTATTATCTCTTTTATAAGGAAGGTTATTCCATTTATTTGGAGTTTTCTCTACATTCGTTTTTATACTTTTTCTACTATAGCACAATTGTAACTGATTCCCTTTTTGCTTACATGGTTCTGGATAGTTTATTTCCCTTCTTTGTCTGAGTCATAGACTCTTAAAAATTGAAAGAGACCATAAAAATTGTATGGCCTCCCCACCCAACATATAAAATAGAAATGGGGGCCACCAATCTGTGAGGCTCATATTGGCTTAGTTTTAAACTGTAATGTTTTCTGTTTTATTATTTTTGTATTTATGTTGTTAAATGTTTCCCAATTACATTTTAATGTGGTTTGGGCCACATTTGGGAGTGTCGCAAACCACCTGGGCCATATGTTTGACACCTCTGATTTAGAGCATGATGGTTCTATTGGAATACCTCCAAATGATAAAGAGATTGTAAACTATTGAAGCGACCCACTCCATTTTTGAACAGAATCCAGGAGTTTCCTTTCTCCCCTCTGAAATAATGCAAAATAGATCTCATCTTTCATCTATGTATCACTCTTCCAGATATTTGAACATAATTTTCATTCCTCCTTTTCCAGGATAAATATCTTCAGTCTTCTGCAGATTAAACATAGTTAATTCTTCCGAACTGTTCCTCCTAATGGCATTTCCGGAGACCTGTGTTCTAATCACCCACCTCTGAACAGACCTTCAGTTTGTAAATGTCCCTTGTAAAATGAGGTGCCCCAAACTGAACAAAATGCTCCAGTTTTCTTGTCAGGAAACTGGAAATAAAGCTAAAACCTGCTAGTGCTTTGTTTACATGTGTGCTGAGCAATGCTATTAAATGTACATTTCAGATTCTATGATTATTTTGAAACTTAGCTGTGCTACATTCTCACTCAGGTAAGGGGCTCTAAACAGTTCAGCATTATACAGTCTTATACCATGCAAACTTGGAAATATGAAAATTTTACTTATGCCAGAATTTTTTTAAAAAAGGAAAGTGATGTTTATCAAAACATGATTAAATATTTCATACAACATTTTAGCTTATGAGTAGCTATAAGTTTCTCTGTGCAGACCTAGGGTTTAGGCATGAACAGAATGATTTATTTCACTATAGTTCTTGGCATCCACATTCATTCTTAGCTCTAACCAGAACCAGAGGCTTTTCGCTCTAAAGCAGAAAACTTTGGATCCACAGAGAGAGCCATGTCCATTCTGCAAGTATCTAAGGCTCTCACCTTCTGGTTCCAACTGAAATGACAAGCCAGGACCTCGGAATTGAGTCAGTAAGAAGTTTAGAGGCAGTCTGGGGCAGAAAATGGACTTAGTAAGGAGCATGAGTCAGGAAAATGTAACAATGAGTGGGCAGAGAATTGAATAGTTATAGTCAGAGATGCCCTGGCCTAGCAAACATTGGATTCCCTGTTCAGAGTGAGAAACTTTATCAAATGCTTTCTTCTGGACTAGTTATGTTTTTCAGTTTTCTTTTTATTCAGTTGCAGTTGGACATTAGGTATGTTAGATGTATATAACTGAAAAGTATGCTTATAATCTGTTATATGTAGAGGCTAGAGGTATAAGGTGTATATATATGTATGTATATGTGTATATATGTGTGTGTGTGTGTGTGTGTGTGTGTGTGTGTGTGTGTGTGTGTGTATATGTATGTTATATAGATATGTAATTAAAGGCACTGAGTCTAGATCCTGGTTGCAGGGCAAATAAATATCACATCAAAAATATTACTTCCCAAGCCTTGAAATGAGGACTTTAGAAAAAAGGGGGAAACTCTGCATCTTTCCAAATCGTTTCTCTCTTGTGTGGTCTTCCTACATGAGAATATAAGTTCCTTAAGCCATCCTCAGGAACACCCACTCTTCCAAGGGCATATAAACTGTGAGCCCACTGCCATAACTTGTCTTTAGCATTTGAAAGTGTCACTGGCCTATTTTATTGGTAATATGCTAGCATTATTAATAAAATAATGAATTACCCAGGAAAAAAAAAAGAATATTATTGCATAATAGGTTGGAGCACTAGAATGTGGAAGAAAAATTCAGAAAGGTAAATAGGAGAACACCTAGGACTAAGACCTCTTTCTCATCCTATCAATATCCAAATGTCAAGGAGCAATTGTTTCCCCTTAGAGAATGGATCTGAAAAGATACAGGAACCCTAACCTTTATCTACCTTATCTTTCTCTGGTATAGCACATCAAAGAGGTGAGACTTTCCCCTCCCCATTCATAACTGGAAGACATGATGGAGATGTGAGAACGATAAGGTAGAGGGTCCAAGAAGTGTGGAGAAGAGAGTATAAAAACAGATAAGAAGCTATCAGAGTGTTTCCTGTTTGTGATTCAGTCATTTCAGTCATGATCAACTCTTCATGACTCTGTTTGGGATTTTCTTGGCAAAGATCCTGGCGTGGTTTGCCATTTCCTTCTCCAGTTCATTTTACAGATGAGAAAACTGAGGCAGACAGGGTTAAATGACTTGCCCCAGGGTCACATAGGTAATAAGTCTCTGAGGCCCGATTTTAACTCAGGAAGATGAGTCTTCCTGACACCAGGCTGTGTCACACACACACACACACACACACACACACACACACACACACACATACACATACATACACAGGTAAATCTATATATGTATGTATAATAGACTGTTACAAGTAATATATACATGTGTGCATACATATAGCAATAATATAACATGAACCTTTGTAAGTGAGGAGCTCTCAGAACTCTAAAAAGGCCAAAATTTTTTTTTGTGAGTTTAACCAAGAAGATATTTCTATCTTTATTCTCCCCGGTGCTCCTTCCAATATACCACACTACTCTTAATCTTTGAGAGAGGCAAAAGAGCTTGTACTCTAGTCTCAGAATCAAAAGAACTGACTTCAAAAACTACTACCTGTGTCATCCCAGGCAACAAGACACAACCTCCCGGCCTCAGTTTCCTCAACTGTAAAATGGAGATAATAATGCTTGTACTAGCTACCTGACCAGGCTGTTATGAAGAAAGCACTTTATAAAAGCTATGTATGCATATTATTACTTAGGGTTTAGTAATTG